ATATATAGATATATATATATAGATATATATATATATATTTTTATTTTCGCATTTATATTTTCATATATTGACTAAGCAGTAAATGTTAAGCAAAAACCACTTAGTGAAAACACCAATTTGAAACGAATATTAAGATTAACATATTTTTCAGTTTAGTAGTTTGTTGTTTGCAGTAGGAAATTAGCTTTAACCTTTTTAACCTCCAACTCCAATACCAGAACAAAGTTTTCAATCTCTGTCAAAATCACATTACACCTAACCAATATACCCCACACACTTCCTGAACAAATAATTTAAAAAAAAAAAAATACGAAAAAAAACAGCTACAAAACAAAAACAAAAATCAAATAAAAGATTTGACACACATTCGCTGACGGCTTTGGGGCATTGCGTATACGTCACGTGCAACAGCTTGGCAGCTTTTATTTATATTCATTTTACGTTTTTGGCGTCTGTTTATTTTCGGCACAGCAAAAGCTCTGTGGAAATGGCATAGACAGAAAAAAGCTTGATTGAATTCGCATTTGTTCTTTTTGTTGACTAAACAAACGAGTTGAAGCCGATTAACAAGCTTGGCCAGGCCAGGCCAGGCCAGCCAAAGCAAGCCAAGTCGCTCAGAGAGCATAATAAATCATATGAATGGGCACAACCAGAAATACTCAGACATGATCACACGATCATTTAGTGGCTCAATGGCCCAGCGAATTTCTGTCGTCTGTTAACCCATTAATGACCAAATATTGTTAATCATCAATTTGATGGCATTTGATTCTCTGATTTGATATTAATTCATTGGCCATTGGCGACATTAACATAGATAGATATCATTAAATACATCTGGTTTGGCTCGACTTCAAAACGACGCCGCAAATTAGAAAAGCAATGCCAAAACGCTTCCCGAATCGTTAAAGTCAATGCCGAACACTGTGGGAAAAGCCTCGTGAAATCAATCATAAAATTTTCCGCTTTGCACATGAAATGGACGCGAGAATGTATTGAAGTTCAACAGGTAAGTTGCACCACAAGAGGTAAGTACGAAGATCTTTAGCTGTAATTGATGCCAACTGATGAATTGCCTGTCAATAATGGGGCGTGACGCTTAAGCAATGGAATGAATGCTTACAAGTTTATCTGTCTACATCTTTATGTAATAAAGCATCTTAGTTGACAATTACAATTAGATTTATTAAGATAATGATGACAGCTGAAGCAAGAGTGAAGGATTTATAGTTTGGCAATGTTAGAATAAATGGTTAATGACTGAACAGTGTCATTATACATACTTAAGAAAGTATTAGCATCTACATTCTATATAGAATAGAACCTTTTTTATTCAGATAGCCTAAAGTTCTACAACTCAGAACTTACTCAAAATTTAAAATAATTATAATTTATAAATTCAAATTTATAAAACTCTTGTCGCATAATTTAGAACACTTTGATAGCTACATAATTAGGCAATTAAAAGATCTTCGATCTTGGCTTCTACACACAAATCGTCTGTGCCTAAAGCATATTAATTGAATTCTAACTAAATACATAATCTGCTCGCATTAACTTTAAATATCACTTTTTGTTTATAAATTCAATTTGGAGTTGGCTAAATATTCTACTGGCCTCGACATCTCCACAAGGCAGCAGCCGGTATATGCGCATGGCAGAGGTCATTCAAGCTTTCAGTCATCTGCTATAATCAGCAGCGAGACTTCCGCCAAAGAAAATTTTCTAGCTAAGCCTAGCATCATTTGAGTTTGGCTACAAAAAGGCTACATTGGCATTACTCTGGCTAAATTTTTATAACACATATATATTTTTATTTATATTTAATAATATAATAAAATATTATTTTATATATTTTAAATTTTCTGATATCTCAGTTAACGGTTCATTGCTCTAATTAAATTGTTGAAACAATTTAATTAGGCTAAGATCACGCTAGCCAAAATGACTTCGCTTTGTTTACTATGTTATTGATAGCCTAAAATGATAGCGTATAATATCAGCATTGAAACAATGATCTAATAGATTTTACATTTTCATTCATCTTTTGTGTTTGTTAATATTATGACAAAATAAATTAGTTAAGCAGAACTGCGACAAAATTGGAATATTCAATGCTTCAGTCGAGGACAGGAGACAGTGTTGTGAAGTAATGCATAATACATAGTTTATAACTATTTACCGTTTATTTGTAAACGTATCGAATTTCAAGGGCTTTCAATTCAATGAATTCTGTTCAAATATATAATTCCGTTTTCAATAACAAGAAAAGCACGTATAAACTTAATTTATTTAGGTTATATTTGTACACAAATATTAAAAAACTAGTCTATAAACAAACATATATTCACAAAACTGCTTTGAAGGGCGCTCAGGTCTTTGTTCTAAATAGAGGAATACCAGTTATTTAAATATAACAGTCATAACAAACGTCAACTCTTATACAGCTCTGCCCAAGTCTTATACTAACAAAATGTTCAGCACACATTCATTTGCATATACGAAAGTTACCGCTTCAAAACTTCGTTAGCTCTGCTTACGTTACATAATGCCTTGCCAAAAATAACAAAAAAGCTTACGCAGCACATCTCTATTGCTTATCTGCAGCGTGCGTAACCTTCCGCAGCAGCTACACGTCGAAAAAGCTCGCTGCGCTGGCGCACACTCAAACGAGCGCGCTCTCACGACGTCATTCGCTCTCGCGCTCGTGAGCTGTTCGGGTATTTGCTGCGCGCTCTCTCTCTCGCTCTTCTTACAATTGATAAGCAGCAAAGTTTCGGCTCGTCGACTGCGCTGCTTTCAGTAATAAGCAACAATAATACGCCATGGTGGCTGAAGCTCGTTTTTCGTTGTTGTTGCTGTTGTTGTTATTTTGTTTCGCGCTGCCGAAGTTGAACGCGCGCGCCTTTCGCTGCTGTCTTCAAGAGTTTTAATTGCAATCAAACGATCGACAAAAGCGCAGGTTAGTTCCCAGTCAGCTGCTTCGGCAAGTGCGTGAGTGTGTGTGTGTGCCAGTGTGTGCGTCAAACACTAATTAATTAGAAAACTTGTTTCAAAATTTCATCAAAAGTGCAAAACAAAATACTAAGAGAAATTTAAACTCTCTTCACGTGGCTGCTGCTGCCGCTGCTTTTGCTGTTATTGTTGCTGCTTCTGCTTCTGCTGTCACTGCTCAAAGACATCTTTTTGATCTATATAAAAAGGCATCCAGTGCAAAGACCGTTCAGTTTTCATTGAACACCGCAGTTTGTGCAATTTGCCGTTACCGTTCCATCCGATCCAGAGCCTTTTTAGGTAATTACCTGTTCTAGTTCTTGTCTTGTGTGCTAAGCAAATCTTGTGACTTAATTAACAGTTCATTTAAATATGTTGCGTGTGGAATGCTGATAGCAGTCGCCAGCGAAAATTGTGAATCGAATTGCAGAGCTCTAAAGTTATTCATATCCAAGCTTATCGTATGTGCATATTCTTGTTGTTGTTTGTATTTTTTGGGGCCTGGCCTTTGTCGGCCTAGACGCTATCTACAGTTGCTGCTTTTTATGTACTTAATATTGATTAAATGGCATTTAATTGTTGTTGTGCGCCTACTTGAATATCAAAAAAAAACAATGTACAAACACACGCCTTACACCAGACCCAACCCGACCCGACCCGACTCTACTTTGTTCTACCTTCTATCCCCCCATAAACAAAGTAACTTAGCAAGTGCTGGCGATTTTTTATACATTATTATTATTATTATTATTGTAGCTGTTGTTGTTGTTGTTTATTAACTACCGCATTATTGGCTTATAATTATGTGCATTATTTTGCATTAAATGCAATGGGTAATAAAATCTTGCACGTGGGAGATAGCGCATAGAATTATAAACCATCTTATATAACAAACAATATTTATTGGCAAGACTTTTGAATCGCATCTGAGGTGAATTTGAATTGAAAGAGAATATATACATATATAGATAGAGATATAGGTACTGAAGTGAATCGAAATTGATTTGAAATGGTATACAAATATACAGACATTTATATATATATATATGTATTATAAAGAGAGAGAGAAAGAGAGCGGGACGTACGCCGCTGATACGGCGAGCTCAAAGTTTTTCCGTCAAACACTCATTTCAGTTACTTACAAGTACTTTAGCTGATTTCGCACTGATATTGCACTAACACTCACTGAAAAGTTATTTATAAAAATATGCCGAAATCGTATTAAAATAATATATATATTTTTTTTTAACTTTACGTGCAATCGCCTTCAATGCGACAGCAAAGTTTTTATTTTTAAAACATTCAGACTTCAGCTCTTTGGAAATATTTCGAAAATACACAAATACATACATACATATATAAATATTGTATGTGTATGTGCAGCTGATACTTTTGCTGCTCTGCGTCTATAATATAGACTCTATATGCATGTTGTTCCAGTTTTTTTCTGTTTTTTCTTTCTTCTTCTTTTTTTTGGGTTCTATAAGTGTTATACATGTGTTATGCACGCA